TGACAGCTCCCTACTATTTGCAAGTACTTGACAGCTTTATATTGTTTTATGTGAAGTTTGTAGTGCCTGAATTTTTTTCAATTAATGCTTTTGAAAAATCAAAATGAAAAACACAGATCTGCCATGTCAGAGGCAATGGACATTGATCATGCCCCTGCTACAACATTTCTGCCCTGTATGTAATTAAAAGCATGTAATCAAGGAAGGACACAGCATACAGAAATATGGGGATCAAAGCATAGGGTGTGATTATTGTCATCTTTGGTATCACTTTGCATGTGTACAGATGATTAAGCTTGCATCATCACAGATTAGTAATTGGGCATGTCTAAAGTGCAGTGTTATTGGCAGAGTTTGAGAGTTTAAAGTACAGACTTTGCAAGTTAGGCAAAATATAAAAGCCTTGTTTAGGCCTAAAAATAAATATATGAGGTTAGATTTTGTATGCAAGTCGAAAATGTACAGTTGGTTTGACTGCCACATTATATTGCATGTATATATAATATATATATTATTATATTCTTGCTTAATTGATATTCAATTAGAACTCTTGATAGAATGTGCTTTATATTTTAACCATATTTGCACAATTTCATGTCCAAGTATTACCAATAACTCAATAAGGTTCAGATAGAGTATTGGGAGAGATGGATACAGTAGGTATTAAGATAGTTGTAAATTTTCCCTTTTTTTGGGCTGGAATATTAATAAATACCTGTTCAGTTCCCATTTGCCTGATCAATCATCCGGAGAGCCAGGTCTCCGTGCTGGTCATATTTCTACTATTATCAGATCAACCGAACTATTGACACGATAGACCAGACACCATCCACGCACAGTTGTATGTTTGATAAGTGTTTCACACTATATTTAATTTAATGGGGATCCTTAGGAATATTTGCAGTACACTGTAATTTGATCCTAGCAGTGTCAGTGTGCATATAGACCCTGAGAATGTCACTAATTTCATGTTCCAAATTTTGCACTTTTAATTACAAATTATTAAATATAAATACACATGTATCACTGGATACATGTTCTCTAAACAAAATATTGTGATACAGAGATACACATATCGATATATTATTACAGTCCTAAAAATACCTGGTACTTTTGTTAAAGAAGAGTTGAAGCTTTGTGGATCTTAAGAGTAAAAGTTTGGCTCACATATATCAAAACTGGATTATATTTGACAACACAGTGCTAGGGCAGGTGAACTAGCGACTGATATAAACACAACATTAATTTGTAAACATTGAAAGTTTGGGTGATCATGAATAAGCAATAGTGGGATATATTGAGGAATAGGTTCTGGTGCTGCTGATAAAATTACTATTTACTTATACTTCGGTAGAGATGGATGCATATTACAAATTCCAGCAACCACTTTTACAATATCAATCAAGTGGTGCACAAGAGTAAGAGGTTCCTCAAATTTGAGGATCCTGAAGGTTTTTATTCATCTGATTGCATGTTCAATGTAAATTCTCTGATTTGCAATGGCCTCTGTAAGATTCACTTCAGCTCTTGACATTTGAGAAGCTCTCCTACACCCTGGAGGAATAAACAGTTCTGCCCAACTCTTCTCGAATATAAACCCCCTATCTGCCATGACCGAATCATATCGTTCAAATATGTCAAGAAACCCAGAGTATGTAGTGATATGTTTGTCACTTGTTTGCCGCAAAATTGATGAGTCCAGAATTAATGCTGACAAGAAACTTTCCTGTGTTAAGGTGCTTGTAATTACTCCATGTCTGAGCAGCAAGTTCAAGATNGAAAAATGCTTTAAATAATATATATTGCATGATAATTGTCAAAAAAAATCCTATAACTTAACCATATTTTTATGGCAGTAGTTATATTAAGTCTTCTTTTGATGTTTCATGCTGTAGATCGCAATGTTTCCTGATCAGGAAATCTTATAGAGCTTTACATTGACAAAGGATTAGTAAATAATCTTTTCAACTAGTCCTGTGGATTACCAAGCAAAAAAGTTAGTGTCCATCCCTGATTAATCTACAGAAAATACACATTTATATTTACTTTTTTATTTTATTTGTTATGTATCAGCTATTGTGAGTGCACTCATGTGGTTTTCCAAGTTATAACCAGTACAAAAATGACTTTCCAACATTGCTTGTCCAATAATACCCCTAGACAGGCCCCAATGAAAATTTATATTTTACTCAAAAACACTTGATGACTTCATTTATGACACAATCTGAGACAAGAAGTTACATTAGCACAAGTTTGACAAGGCGTATAAACGATTCTTTTGTTATCGTTGAGAAACGATGAGGTTACATTAACGTTAATATTTGCCAAACGGAAAGTGGAAAAACGACATCATCGTTGTTTTTGACGTTAATTTTCATGATGGCAAAGAATGCTTTGACATTTTTCCTGTATCGGCGGGAAAAGGTCAAAGTTAAGTATACCAGAAACAGGTTTAAAGATGATATATCGGAGAAAGGAAAAATAATCAATTTGATTGACTTGTCCGATAAATACGCCGATCCACCAGTTACTGTGGAGAACTGAGGCATTCAAGACCTCGCTCCAGTCATCTTGCAGAGTGAATGTGGATCCTGTAAATAGTTTTAACTTTTTAACCAGTTTTTAACGAACTCATGAGGAAGCCACGCCACACAAGTCTACCTGCAAGTTGATGCTGTTCGACGGCCCTTTGCAGTATAAATGTAAATGTAAACTGACACCCCCTTCTGCGACCCTCCAACAAATTGCACGATCGCTGATTTATTACGATGTAAGTGCCAAACATTGAAGATTTTCTCAAAAGAATAGATGTACCTGATTTCGTACTCGATGTTCGTATAATTTTTCAGTGTGGATATATCGTTTAAATAAAGAAATCGTAATCGTATCAAAGGGCTCCTAATTGGCCGCCATGCAAGTTTTTGCTAGCGCATAAGCGGTTTTCCCCCCATGACCTTTGACATAACACTTTGAGGCCGCTTAAGAAATTACGTGTTGATACGTCTATTGAAGCCATGGAAAGGAAATAAATAAATCAACAAATCATTCAGATAGGGAGTAATGAAAGAGGAGAAGCAAAAAGTTTCCTATTTCATACCTAATCATGTTTTTATAATCAGTTTGAACGAAGTGTGCGTTATACACAACATCACCCGGTGACGGTTTGCCCGATCGCATCTCTTTATGGCGACCCTCCACTTCAGTTCTTCTTTGTCGTACGGGGGCACCGTACGTTGTAGACCTGGCTCTCGGGGAAAGTTGTGTCCTCCACTTCCAGAACACTGTGGTACACGGACCGTGATACACAGCAGTACTTCACCTGTAAGTTCACCATCTATCAGCGACTACAGGCGTCAACGTGAAATTAGGCCGTATACACCAGATACACCCTAGTACACCCGCGCCCTCTAGAGGACAAAAATGTCGCGGTAGGAACCATTGAGAAATAAAATGGCGACTGAAAATGAAGCTTATTTGCGGTGATTTTACATCAAAATCGGATATAGGGTCTTGTTCAAATACACCAGCCGTACAAAGAACTCGCTCAACTTGCTAGGGGTGAAAGGTCACGCTCTGGAAGTTGGCCTGACGCATCTTGCCTTATTTTTCTCGAATATTTATGTTTTTCTCAAATGTATCCAGGTTAAACCGGTAAATTAAGACAGATGCCTTCGGCGTTAGAAACGATAAAAAAGCATATCTTGTTGTGAAATGAGGACAAAGGCATCACGTGACAAATGTTTGCACGTGCATAAGAGCTTTAGTTAACTAATTTGATTTTCTAGGTCAACTTCTGCGATTCGAAAATGTTGTACAAATAATTAACCGACAAGGTCTTCGTTGATTACTTTTTCCAACATTTTCTCACCTTCGCTATGTATTCAACAACAATAATACATGCACATATGTTGATTATTTCTTTAATATTCGATCATCTATGCATAACTTAAATTAAACGTCTGAAATGATAAAAACACACAGGTTGTTGTGAAATGGAGACTTAGGCATCACGTGACAAATGTTTTCACGCGGGAGAAAAATTTATCATACTTCTATATTGTTTATAAAAAAAAAAATTAATATCATTTCAATTCTTATTTTTTCTTTTTTATAACTTTTTTTTCTAAATGGTGAAAAATAGAAAAAAAAATATCACAACGTCAACCCACCAGGACAAAAAGACGTGAAGGCGATAAAAATAGCAATAGTGACTATTTCTACAACAAATGATTCGGTGGACCTATAACAAGTATAACAGGAGCCTTCGCTATCTGTTCCTCAAGTTCAGAGGATTTGAAATGAAAAGCTGTCGGAATTGAAGACCAACACCAGATTTGAGATACAAAACAATTTATTTAGAAACATCCATTAATGAAAACAACATACAAATGGTCACCACGTAAATATACAACAACTCTTAAAAATTCGGCCGCCGAGACTCGCATTCATCGAACAAATATACTTTACGAGAGCATGAAGGAAAGATAAACACTTAAAACAACTTGTCAGAGTTATTGTTATACTGAGCAACCGGTGACATACATACTGACAATCCCCCGGCCCACCCGCGTTAAGCCTAACCCCAAATGGCTGCGTGGCCTTACCTGATAGAACATAGGAGAATGAGTAAACAAACGGCACGATCGGTGCCAGGTGTTTGCTCTCTACCAGGTTCAAGTTCAAGTTCTTTATTAACTTTCAGTCTTGCGACTTATCAGTGTAAACATATAATAAACAGGATATTTTCATATGTACAAAAAGCCACATTGGTCACAGGAGAATGAACAATACATTATGTACACATATACAAACTGTCATATATCTGATCGGCGCTTATTTGCCGATATCAGATACTTTCCAAGATTACGTAATTCTTTAATATTCTGTGTACACTAGGGTTATTTCTATAGTAACATTTTAAATACTTCCGTCTTAAATCTGTATATCTTGTGCAAACTAAAACAAAATGAAACTCGTCTTCTATGTCATTAAGATTACATTTTGTACATAATCTATTAGCTCTAACAGTGCCAACATAACGTCCAGATTCAATGTTTAATTTGTGAGCTGACAGCCTAAGTCGAGCAATTTCTTTCATATAACCGATATTAACTGATTTTGTTAGATACGCTCGTAGTAAAATTGTACTGTTTAATTCTCTGTTAAGCATACCTTTAGACAAACCTGTAATTAAACTATATCCCTCTTGATTAAAAATGTCAAACAATCTTGCCTTAATAATTAAATAAGTGAAATTGTTTTCATTCTGTGCGTCCCAGATATATCCTAAGCCTAAACGATACAATTCATCTTTTATTTCACAGACCCATGGATCCTTGATTAGCAGCATATTTTCATAACAGGATTTCAAAATACAGTTTTCGGTATTGAGCAATTTAAACCAATATTTAAATATTTTTAGTTTCCTTGTTACATGCAATGGATAACGGCCTAATTCGAAATATACCATCATATTCGGAGTGGTTTGCGCACACCTAGCAACCTTTTACAAAAATCTACATGCAGTTTTTCGATGTCGGGGCCTTTATGGAATCCCCATACTTCTGATCCGTAGTTGACTATACTACTGACATAAGTATCAAACACTGCAAATTGAGTCTCAATATTAAAATACTGTTTTTTTACATACACCCAATAATGCAAACAATGCTTTTCTTCCTTGTTCAGATATTTTTTTCTGTGTTTGTTTAAATTTCCCATTATAATTCAATAAGATTCCAAGATAGTTGAATTCATTCACTATCTCTAACACAGACCCATTGTATTCCCATTTTTCATTATCTTTTAATCTTCCCCCATTTCTAAAAACAAAAATCTTGGTCTTTGAAGTATTTACAGTAAGGTCCTACTTGATAGTGTAATTTAACAAAGAGTCTAGCATCTTTTAAAAACCTTGAGGTGTCTCGGCAAAGATAACTGTATCATCAGCATACATAAGTAAAAATATGTTAATTAGTTGTAAGTCGATCGAAGGACAGCTGTCCTCTATAAATTGCATTTCGAAATCGTTCACATACAATGAAAATAACAGAGGTGACAACATTTCTCCTTGAAAAAGTCCAATCTTACAGTCGAAAAAATCAGAGCATACTCCGCTGTTTTTTACACAGCATCTTACTTTTTTATAAAGTGATCTAATAACATTTAACATTTTACCTTCAATACCTTCTTTGATCAACTTGTACCATGAACTCTGTCTATTGATCAGGTCAAAAGCTTTGGTATGGTCAATGAAACAACAATATAGACGTTTACCTGACACGCGTAATACACCTGCATTTATAGCAATTAAATATTACTCACCACATTCACAACCAATCAGCGCACAGATTACATACTACCCACGGCAATAGCCTTACAGAAAACCCCTGATGAAACAACAGATATATACACAACCGTACGTAACAATCGCTTACTCTCCCTCTCGTACACATTTCAACATACATACACTACTGCCACACAACATTTTAGTCGATATATTTACAAAAGGGCTGCATAACGGAAGTGTCAATATCACGAAATAAATGATGACATCGGGATCACTGTAAAAGAGGCAAGAATTGTAAATGTGTATGTATTGATTGATTTAATAGATATCGCTTTAAGCCATCCAATATTCATTTATATTTCTCTGGGATGACAGGAAGTACGCAATCTGATTCCGATCATCAAGCATACTGCATCAGGGGTCACATTCTGATGACCTTTCTTTCCAACACTGATTGGCTAGAAGAAAATGTCACTGGAACGTGACCTAGGGTGCGATGCGTAGAACGGGGATTCGATATCATCAGATTGTATAATGCGTGTTACAAGCTTAAGGTTAGTGTTCTATTTGTCATGGCAGAAGAATATCATAACGTAATGCTCTTCTAAAAATATCAGTTACGGAGTTTTGTTGAGGTAAATATACGTTTATATGAATCCGAGAAATTGTTATGAACCGAAACGAATCCGAGGTCAATATCACTTTTCATGTCCATGTAACGCATATCACCGAAATAAAAGTCCTTACATGTAATTGTCATTATAGATATAAAAATTATGAAACTTTTATCATTAAAAAGGACGTAGCGTAGGCAAAGTATTAAGAGAAATGAACTGTTTATGGTAGAGAGCATTGTGGAGTTACAAGTAAACTGACGTCATAAAGTGAATATTTACCTGATGTTTCTAAATATAGCAACACCGAGTTAATATAAAACATGACCTACCTCCACGTGGTTATGACACATCAAATGTGTGTATCGAAATACAATTTCATACGAAAATATATATGACATGTTATATTTATTGAATAACATGGTAAACAAATGTAAAAGTTGTTAGTTTCGACAAGAAGTAAATAATCTATACAGTTCACGTCTGAATCTTCTATCAAAGAATCCGTATATAAACGGATTAACTACGTTATTTAAAATAAACAAAGTATATAGAAATCTCATTATCCCAAGTTTTGGAGTTGGTTCAATTGTCCAGAAACGTTCTTGAACGGCGTCTGCTATCATTATTACCAGTTTTGGTCCCATGGTAATAATATATATCACAGTTATAAGCATAAAAATCAGAGTGAGACGTACTCTTTGACAATCAAATTTGCTGCTCTGGCGGGAGAGTCGAACTAACGGCAATGGAGTTGTCTCCCTTGTTATATTTCCGTTTGTTACGAGTGAATCACGCTCCTGCCGTGGTTCCTCGTCCTGTTCATTAACACAACTCGGTCTGGTCAAAGTATTCTGTCCTTGTTGTAACCTTCGCTGTATGCGTGTTTTCGAGTGTTTATACAACTGTTTCCCAATATGAAAATAACATATAACCAGTCCTACAAACCGAGCGAGAACGTCGACTAACATGACAAATTGATAACAAACTTTGAGACTCCACTCCAAAGAAATGTGATTATGGTGCGGGGTGTTGCTGTTGGCACAAAGACAGCCCCTGTCTCCTGTACCGGGGTGCTGTAGTGGTATAGTTCCGTACGTAAACAACGACGGTATGGCCATAAGTAGACCCGTTATGCTCATAATGACCACAGAGATTTTCTTCCATCGAAATGACATTTGGTCATCAAAAGGCTTATTGATTTTCAAATATCGATCGAAAGCTATTATGGACAACAGATCCCCAGACATCTTAACGAAAAATATGCCCAGAAAGGCTACAGTTTTACACAAAACGTCACTACGAAATTTCACTATGTTCATGTTTGCATAAATCCCAACTCCAGCAGAAACTAGACATGCAGACATATCCAGCACAGCTAATATCGGAACGAAAAAGTGGTCAGTTTTCGGAGCTTCCCATCTGAACACATAAATAAACACGACGAGAAAGTTTCCAATTACTCCTACAAGAAGATAAAATCCCAGAATTACCGTCACCGGAAGAAGACTTCTATCTACGTCACTGTTTAACGCATTCCAGGAAAATTCGGTCTCCAAGGACGTTAGTTCGGTGACATTATCCACTGTCATGTTTTAACTGTTAACTGTTTTCCCCTCTATCGCGATAAATAGAATATATAACTCGAATTTGATCTTTTTTCTCCTGTATACGTCAAGAAAGTAATAATCAGCTCAACCGAGATATTGATCGGAATTTCCCATTTACGTTTAAGCATTCCAGTTTTGTTTCTACGAGTACAATTGTTCGGAACATCATCTTTCGTAGCTTCACTATGTTTCCAACGAAATTTACACACATTTTTAATAACTTAAGCAAAAAATCAAAATATTATGATGTTACTGCTTCTGCTTTTCCCCGATAATTTCATCTGTAATATAATTGATGTTTTAAACTTTTCCTTTATATATGAAAACTGATGATGGATTTCAAAACGATTCAGTACATGTCATATCGAGAAGTTCCCATGAGAAATCTTTTACAATCAATACGGTTCATTTGAAAGTAACCAGGAAAATATACAATTCCTTTCTTTATCGGTATCCATCGAAGATCACGTCGTTACGTAGATAAACTTTGTATGCTTTAGATCTACCTGTATAGAACACTGGAGTTCCACACACTCCTTCACACTGATATTACTAATAGATGCAATGTAACAGCTTGACCTTGTCTCAGTGACCGGTACTGTTATTCCGAATATTTGGTTCGTTAGTTACCTATTTGATGACAGATGTATCCGTGGTACACAGCAGCCACGGTTCCTTAACGCTTTGTTTACCAATTTCTGACGGAATACCAGACGAAGTGATTAAGTAGTCTTGCAAAGAAGCCCACCTGTGCTGTGCTATTCTTATCAAAACCACTTTCACCATTTCTGAAGCTGAACAAATATATACCACTCACAAGTACGACACATTTGTTTCAGCGGTCTGTCACGAGCGATGCGAGTTTGTCAGTTATAGAAAGGATATTATATATTCTATATCAGCTCTAAAAAAAGCCACATGTATGGTGGTATCTACGGCGTACACTCGCGTGCCATCAGTGTAATGTATGTTTTCAAACTCCTTCGTAGGTTTACATGTAGTCTCCACTTAAGCGCCACACCCTAATCCATCAAATGTTTAACTTTACAATCTTCTTTGGGCTCGTACAGTCCAAGGCTTAACGCAATGTCTCCCAATTTGCACTCTCCAAAAAATAACACACTTTCTTCAGTAATAATAATCCCTAAACCGTTATTTATACACTGCCCGCCTAATCATAGTCTCCAACCTGTTTCCAGATAAAATACAAGTTTATACAAACTGTCCTAGAACCGTTAGTTGACGGAACAATTCAATAGTCTAATTTCTTGGTTTTAAATCATATTTCGATAGAAACACTTTTAACTCGGAGCTCTTTTTACAACTCGTTCAAAACTTTGTGTCGTTCAAGAGCGAATATAAACAGTTCTGTCAAAATTGCCGACAAGTCTTTCATCAAATGTCAGCGGTATGGTGGCCGAGTTCCACAGCCAATAGAACGTTTAGATCGTAGAGGAATTACAGACGATGATAGGCAGTCGACGAGCCTTGTTCTAGCGAATCCCAGGAGATATAAACCAGCTAGCGTGTATATCAGTCTCTATATTCCCCGTCCGACGTGAAACCCTTTGTTGTTACAGAGATATAGCAGGAGCGTTGCAATTTGATGGCTGTTTTGTTCCAATTATGTTTCCAAACAAAATACAGTTTGGCTTCCAGTCCACGTTTATCGGTCCAATACGTATGGAGATATAAGAGCACTCAGCGAGGACGGCTAGTAAGAGAACTGAACATATATATAATAAACCAATTTCCATAAATGCCTCGGAGCTCAAGGGTGCTCGCGTCAGGAGGTGTAATACAGATCAATATCAATGACGTTATCAACGCCACATTGTAACAAATGATCGAATATTGCAACCGGATGTAGATTGCAACTAGCATGTTAATAACAGATTTTACCCGTCAATGTCCTTTTTTTCCAAACCGTAAGTGGCCGCTAGTTCTTTATCTAATTAGCCTCAATTTGCATAAATTCAATTTTTCACCAAGAGGCACTTAGCTTATTAAGTTTAGTTATTGAGGGTTTTTTTTATTCCCGTAAATTGAAGGAAACATCGCTGGTTATTCCTGAGGGTTTAGATAATCTGACGTCAGAAATATGATTTAAGATGAATTAAATTGTGTTCATCGTGATACATCAAATTACTGTTTACAACGGTCATCACAACAGAGGATTGGTAAAGTGACTTTAAGGAGTTTTTAATCAGAATCACGAGGCGTGTTTCATGCTCAAACGTCAATTTGCTGTAAAAACAATCGTGATGTCATAAGTCACAGTGACATATTCTTGTTTCAGTAAAATCGATAACATTTTTAATTGAAAGCTCGTGGTTCCTTGGTTTTATTACTTAATTAAATTTAAGACGAAAGTAAGGGCAACATATACAGAATGTTTCACATGAAACGGAAATAAGGGAAACAGGGATGCACGAATGTACAAAACACGTAAGAGCATTGCACACATGAGCAGGATCGACGAGTCACTCAGATAAACAGGGGCGGAGTCAACAAATCACTACGATAGAGATGGGCGGGGTCGACGAGTCACTCAGATAAACAGGGGCGGAGTCAAACAATCACTAAGACAGACATGGCGGAGGTTTTTTTCGGTGTCATTGAGAATAAGAATAATTATAGTGGCAGAGCTTAAGTGTATCAAAAAAATCGGACAAGTGCTAAGTGCGATTATAGGACCACATTTTGTATATGCAAGAAATGACGTAGCGCGCGTATTTGTGGAGAATTTTTGGAGGGAATTGTGGGTCAGTGAGTGAAGGGTATATGAAAGCCGACGTGATCGGGGGCAGGTGACCCCATATCTGTTCACTTCCGATTGGGGAAATGAACCCCGGACGCCTTGGTGAAAGGCAAGTGCGCTATCCACTTCACCACCCAACCACTCAGTACAGCACAATCCTGTGTAATAAGTATTTGACTATTATATTTTAGTTGAACATGCTGGTATACTTAGCCTCAGACGTTCCCCATGTAAATATTTGAGGTTAATGAGGTCACTTGTTCCAACAGTACCATTTTTCATTTGAATGAAAACTTCAAAATCTTTCTGTTTTAATTTAGTGATTGTTTTTCTGAAATATTTGTTAAACATCATTTCCAGAAAACAAAACAGGCATTTTAGTTAGGGCACAGAATATGTTATTCCTATATTCAATACTTTTTTTTTTGTAGATAATAAATAACAAGTTATGTTTTGTTCATTATCCCATCATTTTATTGGCAAAGGAAAATTCAATACTCATATCACATCACTACACATTTTGGCCTCACTTCCTACATACAGTAAACACTTTGACATGATTATCTCTTACTAATTCTTCTTTTCTACCTTCTACTCTTCACTATTGGAATAACTTAGACAATTCGGTTCGATCTCTACCCTCTATTAATTCATTCAAATCCTGTTTAACATCAAATATTCAGTCAAGTCCACCTATTTACTTTAAAATCGGAAATCGTAAACTTAATATCTTGCATACTAAACTCCGACACCAGTGCAGTTCCCTTAATTATGACCTTTTTAGAGTTAACCTTGTTGAGAGTGCATCTTGTAATTGTGGTCATCCTTGTGAGAATGTCTTTCACTATTTTATGGAATGTCAACTTTTTACAAACGAAAGACGTATTTTGGTTCAAAATTTGATTAATTTGAATGTTGCGTTAAATTTAGAAATTCTTTTGTTTGGCAATTCACAATTTTCCGTGGACCTTAACTCAAACATTTTTAGATCTGTGCAAAACTTTATTAAATCCAGCAAGAGATTTTGAGTTCAAATTGTAATAACAATTGTATATATTTATTGTCATTATTGTAATGTCATGTCAAATGTATATTGGGAGAAGGCGTTGATAAGTTGTTATAACTTGTGCGTAATCCCTTGTCTAATTTTGGCAATAAATATGTTTAAACTAAACATGATGAAAACCCTAGAAAACTTAAACAGCCACAGAAAGACCGTCCTTAGGCCAGTACAAATGGACTGAATAGTCACTGAAATGCACTATTAGTAGATTTCAAACACAGTATGTCATCATTCCTTTGTTTGGATAGATCAGCAATATGAGCTTAATTACATCTAGTGTAGGCAAAGAAGGTCCCTGGCCTTTTTCACCACTTCAGGAATGACTTTCCCTCTCATAACTAGTCGCACATCAGTCTCCTCCCCGCCAAGTGCAGGTTTCACCTTTAGTTCCCATAAAATGAACATTTAATATACATATCAACAGAAAGTATATGCATTACAAACCAATTTATATATACTTGGTACATACAAGGTTTGGTGATCATCTATGCAACACAATATATACAATTTTACAGCTATATTGTGAAGTAAAACAGTTTTATAAACAAAATGCATTCTCAACACATTCATTGGACGTGAAAAACAACATTGTACAAGCGGAAACGATGGATTTCAGGGGGCTAAATTACCGAGTTATCGTGAGGTATTTAAGTTTTATGAGTACATGAAGCTCTCCCGTGTCACATATGTTTACATGTACGTAGGACTTCGATCGTATAGCTGAACACGGCCAGCCCGGATCATATTGCTGTATAAATATTGTTTTACTGACATGCTGTGTCGGTATAATCAATTACGTTAACAATGAGACGTTTATATTACTTATATTTAAACCAGATGGTGCTCCTAAAAAGGTAGTCCATGACAAAATAGCACAATAAAAGTTTACTGAATTGATATTTGATATAAAATCAATTACTATCTCGTAAAAGATTGATGAGTCGTATAGAACACGTATAGAGACATATTGGTCAGAAACGATTTTACCAACGATCAAGCGCGGGGTGTTTCACAAAAAAATTTGAAAAACAACAATTTCAAATCAATTAATCACATGATCAAGTTTCAAACTTATGAAGTTCCCGATCGAATTCAGGGTTTATGTACTTTATACCATTCATCAGTTCGTGGATGGTGTACGTAGAAAAATGATTGTCTGAAAGGTTGAAAAACAACCATTTCGAAATAATGAATCACACTATCAAGCATCAAACCTCACAGGTTCTCGAGCTGATTTGATGGTCGTTGGTACCGGTGACTATGAACAGGTCGCGCACGCGCAAAATTTCAAGCTTTGTTGTCTTGCGGGAATTGTCAACATTTGATAAAGCTCTAAAAGTTAAAAGTTCCCAAAACATGTGTGCTAGAAAACCGACTTTTGTTTTTACTTCTACGAATGATATGTTAACAATACCGCAGGAATCGCTAAAAATATGAAAATACCGACGGTATTAAGCATTAAGCTTTACTAAAAGTTATTTTTTTTATCTTATGTTTATTTATAAATCTACAAATATAAAAGCAGTATCTATAAATTTTCAAACACATTACATTGATATAGTCACACGAACATATATTATGGACAAAGAGTCCGTAGCGGTCTGGTAACTTCTACAAAGAATGGAACTGAAAAAAAAATGATCCATGGAACTGCAAAAAATCATCAATTCAAATAATTAAACAAACAAAATGTTATACCAGTTTACACAGCAATATTATCCGGGGCGGCCGTGTTCAGCTATGTGAAGTCCTTATATATGTGTGCACACATGTGTGATACGCTGTAAGTCTTCATACGTGTACAACGTAAAATTTATCTCACGATAACTCGGTCAATTTTTTCAAATATCAAACTGAAATTTGGCATAAAAGTGTGTTATAGTCATATGAATAACATATCGTCTGATGTTGCTTACGTTTTTAGATTAATTTTAGAGATATAGTTTGAAGACGCTTCACGATCTGTAGATTTCTTTATACACGTGTGCAACGGCGCCACGTAAAAATTCGATTCGTCATTTCTATGTCATTTTTTCATATATCGACCTGAAGTTTGGCACAAAGGTGAATCATAGTCATATGAAAACATATCTTCTGATGTTGCTAACGTTATATGTTAACCTTATGGTAAAGTCTGAAGACGCTTCTTGATCTGCGGAGTTCAATTCACACACGTGTGCCACGCCGCAAAACGTAAAAAATAATTTCATTATAACTCGGTCGTTTTTTCATATATCTAGCAAAAATTTGGAGTATATATCAATAAAAGTCTTATTCATATCATATTCTCTGATGCCGCTTACTTTAGTAAGAGTTTTTAAAGATATTGTCTAGCGACGCTTTCTTAACTTAACACACGTGCCACGCCGCATCATAACTCGGTCAATTTTTCAAATAACAAATTGAAATTTGTTATAAAGGTGTATTTTAGTCATATTAACAACAAATCTTCTGATGTCTCTTACTCTATTCGGTATTTTTATAGATTTTGTCTGGCGACGCGTGTTGTCACTTGAGGACGCTTGTTGTCGGTTGAAGACGCTTTTAAAGAGGACCCTTTTTGCCCATTTCACAAATTCTATTCATGATGTGATTTTTTAAAGCAATTGGTCATTAATCTCATTATACAATAAAAAATGCACATATTTTTCTTAATGTTTGCATACCTTGAAATCTTTGCTGTGCATGCTCATATTTTACAGCATGCTTTTCTTTCTTCCGAGTGTTCCCTAGCTGCGATAACGTAGCTTTCTGACGACGAGATTTTTTTAATCGGGGCAGAGGAGGCCGGGTATTAATATTAGTACTAAGTGTTCCTATGCATCCGGGAAACGGGAAAGAAGTGACTGAACTGATCACATCAATTCATATACTTTAAATTGGGTGGAAGATAGGCTGCTGCATACGCAGCAACCGTGTCTGTCATCTTCCGTAGCGAATGTAAACAATCTACCGGAAGTGTGCGCACCAGAAAACGGGAAATCCCTGTCGCTTCGATATTTAAGTCGATTTGATTAATTATTGATATCTAAAGTGTATAATATTGTTTGAATAATTAAGGGATAGCCTTCTAGTTTCAGTAGGTACATTATATATATATATATTGGGAATAATAGAAGTTATATCGTACAGTTGTAAAGCAAGTGAGATTTCCGTTTTCGCGCGAAACAGAAATAGAATAGAAATATGACGTCTGTCGGAATTCCCGTTTTTCTCCCTTTTCATTGGCTAGAAGTTAAGGACCCAAATCCCAGCCGGCGGCTCATGGAAGGCAACTGCGATGATACATTCACGAGAGGATATGGAAAGGAATGGAAGAAGACGCTGAAAGGGTGGAGAGTTGAAATACGGTTGAGTTTTATGATACCTCTTACATATATTTGAATCTTTCTTCCTAGAACTATGCATGAGTTAGCGCTGACTGGTCGGTTCGGTCGAGAGCTTTGCCCTTAGATTGTGTATTCCCTTGCGATACGTTAACTGTCTGTTATTTAGTCGCAGTTTTTGCAGAGTTGGAGCTCTCTCCGTTCCCAATATGGACAACAGCAATCAGTAAGGTGTTTAGGGAAGTGTTAATGTCATCTGTGACTGACCACTTGGTCAAGTGAGGCTAGTCTGATTTCAGTATGAAGAATGATTTGATTGATGGTCATGGCCTGATTTCTTTCAACTCGGTGTTTTAGTGACTGCTGTGGGTAGTTATACCCTGTTCAAATTTAACTTCTCGCGTGTAGAATGAGAACATGTTATGTATGTTTACGAATATGTGTTAAGATTAGACAACGCATGTACCTAGGTCACCATCTTTTTATTCCCCTTTCCACATAGTACTACACAAGATGATTTAATAGCGTTGTAGATCGTCAAGCGAACCAACCTGCCAATAGTGCTTCAAAAGTAGAAACAGATCGCAGTAGACACATTTTCGTGTTGGCAATAGTTTTGAAACCAATATACTCTAATTATCGATGTTCTATTTAATCTATAAACGTCTATTCTCGTGTGGATATTTAAGCGCTAACGTGTTATCATGTAAAAGCAATATATACTGATATTTATTTACACCATACATATGGCAGCGCATGCGATTGGATTATATTGATCACATGATGGAAATAAATCGTCGTGTTTCCCTCTCGCGCTCTAGTTATATTTCCCTCATCCGGGACATATCCAGAATAATAAAATGTGTCTGTCCTGAGTACTAAATGTCGTAATCGTTAACGTTGTCATCTTTATATCGCGTTATTGGTTTAATTCGGTCTTGCAAACTATTAATCGCCTTAATAAAACATGATTCATCTCGGAGAAACCAATAGCCATGTTCCTCTACCGCAAGGGAAATGTAATTAATGTCATAATCTGATCACATTCTAATTGACGAAGACGGATAGGTTAGAGTGCCTTTAAAGAAACGCACTGGAATATCTTGACTTCAAATATCGAAAAACGTTATTTACAAAGAGTAAACAAATTAAAATATACACATGATGACTGCCCCAATAAACAGTCATACCATAGATACATTTAAAGGTAAACTAATTCTGGGAGAAAGAAAAATCGAATGTATCAGCAAGTAGTAGACATTCATTTCGAAAAATAACTATATCTGGGACTCTTGGAATAACAAATTTGAAGTAAGCAAATGTTCAGTAATTAGTACTGTATGACGTAGATAATTAATACTTTTGAAAGCTGTTTGATGATATATTACCAAATAAGCTAGTTCATATGTTTAAGCAGTGTGGTATAATATCCAGTTCTCTTTGTTAGTTCCATATATCTGCCTGCCCACCACTCAAATATAGTGCCTAATGAGGAAGGCAAATCAAACAAGATGTACGTCTTAAAGTACTCATTAATAAAGCTCACTCATCATAGCATAAAAATAAACCCTGTCGCTTGGAAAAAGATATTAAAAGAATCCTCGGAAATAGGGTAGAAGCATAGTATAAACTTCAGACACAAGTGTATCATACAGGTGTAACAGCAGTAGCTACCTGGTCGCCGACGATCGTCCTAGTCCAGTTCTACTACATCCTCCCTCCTTTTTCTATTTTCCTAGTCTTCGCCCCCGAAGACAATACTACTTACAGCCCAGGTTTTGGTACCCCCTTGCCAAGTATTCACCCAGTACTTTAAACAACCTTTGGTCACATGAACCACTGTGACAGGAAAGGAAACAATGCACGGCCGGACTGGGATTCGAACCGGGGCCATCTCTAGACGGACGATCTACCAATTAAGCTACATGATCGTCGACGATCGACCTGGTCCAGTTCCGCAACATAGGCAAACGCTAAACTACACAGCCATCACAGTGAGGCAAAGCTGGTAAAGAAGTCAACGAAGAAGAGTACATGTACGTGAGAAGCCCAACCTCAGTCGTGTTTAAGGGCTACACTGGACATTGTAGTGTGTGTCATATCGTAACTCACACCGTCATGAGGCCGATCTCAAACGCGGTCATCGTCATGGGTTCAAGATATACCTTTTCACCTGGCTGCAATGCACGCTTCGTCTCTAAAAAGGTCAACGATGTCTCTCTCACGTACAGTATGTACATGTCTTTAACTAGGGACCACAAATTGATGGGATGGTCTCGAGTGTTTCCCAGCCCAGATTTGACAGTACCCCGTCTATGAAGCACCAATCGCAGACTCAACTGGTCGCTTGAAATCCTTTTCTTCTTCATAGTAACGATGGTGGTATCGATTGGTAATTTTTCTGACAACAATTTAAAGGTTTTCACTTGATATTGGCTATTCGACTGTATTGTGATGATTGGACATTGGAGATAATCATTGATCAATATGCTATCTAAAGTGGGAAGAAACATCTCTTTCGAAATGCACATCCTTTTATTTTCTGTGCTACACTTTTCAAACTGTAACGAGAGCATATCGACATGGGCGTTACTGTACATCATTCCCTGGCCTAAACCCCTGCCGTCGTCACTGGTCGGGCGTCTATCAAGCATGATTTCAAGTTCACCAGTATGTAGGCTTGCTACGCCGTGCGCGTGCGATGCATGCACGGTAAAGCGCGCGCTACTATCTTGAATCACTGCGTCTGTTGCCATTGGGTAATAGTTAGCGGCGATTGGCGTATCTCTACGGTATTTCCTCTTGGTGTGTTGGAAACCGTTGTTATCAGTATACAAAATACCACGACTGTCTATATTTGTGACAAACCTTAATATCAACTCCAAATCACTCATCTCGGGTATATTGACATTCACGCGACACGTGACGTGGATAACCTTGGCATTTGGCCCTTCTGTGTTGTACAAACTGTAGGTCAGTGTCACTCCCGTGTATGTGACTTCAATTTGCTGGGACAGTTGACCAGACGCTATGAAAATACCGGGAAGGGACGAAAAGATATTATGGGCGTCCCCTAACGGTGCGAATATATAAGCTCCACTTTTTCTCGAGGAATTGTACACCAACAATTCAGATCTAACTGCAATCTTTGTATCCGAATCTTTTAAATAGACGTACATCAGGCTGCCATTAACTGGACAAAACACAGCAGCGATATAGCTGTTAGACAGCCGAAGGTCGTCTTTAATATCCATCCGATTGAAGACATTGAATGGCATGGCGTTAAGATGGTTGTTCCTGACAGCAATGTTCGTGTGAGGAAGACCTGACGCATTGGTTGCTGTCCGGCTGATTGTGTAAATAGCAATAGACATGAACTCAATGAATACTGGAATCTGTAAAACATACATCTGGAAGGACACCGCTTGGTCGCTTTCCTTGGAGGGGTTTACTTGTGCAGCGACACGGGTTCCAAAATTATTTGTAACACTAACGTCACTAGTATCTATTACAAAGGATATAACTTCATGTCTTGGTTGAGTCAAAGAGTTCACAAATACTATATACCAAATCGTTCTGGAACTGAAAGTCAATAGTTGTGGCCGATTCAAGGAAAACTCATAATATTTCCAAATTTCTTCCCCGTTAACAGAAGATTCTTGATCCGACTTGGATTTGACAATCTTCTCAACACTATTACAAATGACAGCCCTTGCCAGATCACGGTCCTCGCGAGCTCGGCTCCTATAGTCGCCGACCACCGCCGCCTTGGAGGTTCCTGTTATTGCGTCATGGTGCTGCATCAGACTCACCGTCCACGCCACGTGTTCCATCTCGTCACGTGACCGACGAGAATTTGTCAGTGGTGAAAGACTATTCCAAACACTTCCTGCATGAAACGTTTCTTGTAATTCTCGAATAGCTCTCTTCTGTTCCGGCCGACTGCTGTAAAAGCCGGTCCAATAGTCGTTTCCATTATCCGTATACGGAAGGAAGTCCCCGGTATAGAGAGGGGAGCCTGATGTATTGTATTGATTTTTAACCTCTGCTAGATAATCCTTTAGTGTACCGTATTTCATCATCATGTTAAATTTAGGATTATTGTTGATGTAAGTGATAATGATGTCGAGGACGGCATGCATCTTATCCCATTCCAAGTCAGTATCATACCGGAAGTCGTCTCCAAGAGGCAAGATAACAACATCGTGGTTATAGTTGGCCGCCTTCTTCCGCAATTGGTGTGCGACTGCGCTGATGAGGTTGTCTATAACTGATTCTGTCCCATCTTTGTGAATTACTTGAGTGAGATCAACAGGCATCGCCTTGATGTCGAGCAACAAACAAACAGATGGATCTGGGCCACACGCTTGTTCGATGTTATAGAGCTTGTATGGAGGCACATGGCAAAATAAATCCGTTTTCCCGGCCTTGTCCCACTGCTGTCGCCATGTAAACTCCAGCTGTCGTCTGCTCGCCATAACACTCTTGTACTTCTGGCTTACTCTTTGAGTCACCGCGAGCTTGTAGCCAGTCTGGGACCAGAGGTACGGTAAGGTTGGAGAGTGACCGAACGGATCTATAGACCAGGCTACTTTTGGTGACACCTGGAATTCTGTGGTCAGCCATTCATGGGCTATCTGAAGCTGGATGAGCAATGCTTTATAGTGGGTCACGGCCTGATCAGGCATAACCCAACCACCAGCCACAATCTCAAATCTCCCGTCATGTACAAGTTTTTTCAACATGGACCTTTTAACAGAATCTGCCTCCTTCCACCACATGTGTAAAAATATCGTCTCTGACCAAATGAAGGTCATATCCGTTCGAACGGTCAGTTTACTGACTGCTAAGTCTAGTATATTCTTCACCTTAGTATTGTAGTACTCCTGAAGCGTTTGTAGCCAGCCTGGATCGGTGTGAGAGTGTGGTACAATGAGTACAAGAACTCGCCCTTCCTTTTGATCCGGAACGGAGGATTTGTTGTCTTTTACATCATCATCCATTATATCTTTACTCACACGTGATCTCGCGCGAACCTTTCCCCGTGTTGATTTTCTATCAATTTTCGTCGCTTGGAGAGGCAAATCCCTGATCTGTAAATCAGGATGGTTCGTCATGTACGGATGTATAGGTTTCTCACGTTGTGTGAGCCATATCAACAGCTTGAAGATTAAGAAGAGGACGGCAACGATCAGTGACAGCAGCGCCCTCTTCCGACACTTCATCATCATTGCATATCTCTATTGATGTCATTGATTTGTCTTGTGTGCTTTTAACTACTGGTTTCCTTCCTTTAGATCTTCACCTTTTTATAGTAATTCATAGCGTTCTAAGGGTATATAATCCAATTCCTTGCAACATCTGCAATATGAAAATAAAATTAAAAAAACGTTGTATTATAATTTCAAAACAAATATCACACAGAGTGTTTTCAGAGTTTACATACAAGTGCCATAAGTCTGACAAAATAGTGAACACAGCTGGCGAATCATTCGGCGCTTCCATTGGGTACAGACTCGACAACAGAAAAGTAATTACAAGGACTTGATACACAACTTGTATAACATATATACGGTTTGATCAAACAATCACACCTTATAAATGTATATCTAGCGGCCGGAATCTGAAGGCCATGTTGGATAACAGCTACTTTGAGTTGAGACTGGTAATTGGTTTGGTTTGGTTTGGTTTAATTTTGTTTAACGTTCTAACAGCTAAGGCCATTTAAGGACGTGCATCCATGTGTGAAGTGTATGCGTGCTTGTGTGTATGTATGTATGCAGGAGACAGGGTATGGTGGTATACTTGCCTCCTTGTGATAATCAATATATAGTGAAAATTAGGATAAAAGCTGTAAAATAACATTCTTATTTTTTTTTTTAAAAGCTTGTTGTCGGTATATCATACACGTGTTTTTGAAAATTATAAAGTGTTTGTTATATTTCAACAAACTTGTATCCTCGCAATACCACGTGTAACGCTGCCTTACGCTCTGTACAGAGAACGGCAGTGAGCGTGACACCTGGAATTTCGAGAATGACAAACTTTATGAAAGTTGGTGAGGTTATATAGTGCAATATTCTTGTTTTTCCACCACAAATGTAAATTTCCTCGTATAAGCTGCCCTGTGACATCAAATAAGATCCGTCTATGCATAATTTATATTGGTTGGATAAAACATTCACAAACAATGACGTTTTACATCTTAACCCTTTCGCCACTGTAAAATAATAGTTGACTTATCCAGATCAACGCTTGGTAGGGTTAATTAGAGTTATATAGGCCTAGGGGTGAAAGGGTTCGAGAGTATACATACTGACTTTAAACGAGATCTTGAACTTATTGAGTATAAATTAGGGATATTCACAAATGTACAATGTTTCAATATATCATGACGAGATAACAATCTACTATCCTTTACAGGTTCTATTATTATACTATTCAACACAAAACTCGTTCGTCAAATTATCTGAATGCGTTCTCGTTAGGAAACCTTAACATTAAAAATATCAACATATATCTTTATGAATCCCTTACCTGACAACTGTGTAAGTTTTCCTCTGGATTTAACTCAAAATGAACGCGACAGTCAAGGCGTGGTAGGTCGTGCCTGACTTCAAATCTACCGGTTCTGCATGTGTTGAACCAGTTTCTTATGGGCTTTAAGCTTTGTCAGCTTTTAATTTTTTTACTTATTGATAACGAGAAATTCATCGTTTTGTTTTAGCTATTCACAACCGATTATCTAACTTTTTTTCTATAATTTTATTTTCTATCTGACAATGTAGGAATAATGCTGAAAAGGAATTAATTTAAGTATAAAGCTTGTTTTTAAATCTCTCTGAAATGCAGTGTCTGTTATAAACATGTTTGAATAAAATACTGGCTTACTTGGCTTAACGTGTTCATCTCACTTCATTAAAACCAATTACAGTTGTGAGAGTTTGTACTTTGCTTTCTAGCGACTAACGTTATCTTCAAACACATACTGGAAAGAGTAACATCAGCGTGTTTTATATAACGTTTAATTATGCCATTAAACTAACTAAGCTTTTCTAAACTGACTAACGGGACCATTGATCTAGTGCTGGTTAGCTTTATATAAACTAAAGACACATTTCCAAACATCAATTTAGTGTCAAATATACTAAAATTTAAAACTCAAACCAAAAACATTTATAGACATAAATGATCAAAGGAAATTATAAATAAAATATTTATAATTCAAAGGAAAGTATAAACAAAAAAAAGTTTTAGAACATTTTATCGAAGCGTTAAGCTCACATGGGTATGATTATCAGGGTCCTTGTCTCAGTTGACTGAGTTTCTGTTTACAGCGCTCATTTAGCTATGTAAAACACATGATATTGTGTATCGGTTTTAAATTTAAGTAGTTTGTCACAGTAGAACAATTAGTGATGTTATCAGTTCATTGTAACCATTTAATAAAAAGACCGACTGGGGATATAAAAATACCATGTGTTGTCTCATTGTCATGCTAAAGGATTACAGAATAACATACCAATTATACTATAGTATATGGAAAAGTCTCCTTCAGGCCGTTAGGATAATATTCAGTGATTGAATATTGACAATATTCCTTTCCATATATATTATTCATGTATATCTGTTAATACAGACGAAACTCAGTATACATGTTAACATCTTGTTCTATAGTCTTATCCTACATGTATATAGTAAACTCAATATCTGTCTGGCCCTACGTCGAAGATAGTTCGATTGCAGGTAGGAATCGCCTCAATTACTCTCGCGTGTTATCTCGTCCTAGGCTCCAAGACAATGTCCCAATGTAATTTCTTTGTTTTGTTCATAACTTTTAATCTAAGTGTTATATTTTGTATATATTATGTCACTTTTATAGAAATTAGTGAAAGGGATGATAGTGTCTGATAAGTCTCATCGAAGACTGGATATAAGGGTGGTGGAGATAGCTAATTTGTATGTTATAATAAAACTGTACCCTGTACAGGTGTTAATTTTACTATGAAAAGGCACAGCCTTGAAAGAGCGTAGCTTTTGTTGATCACTGATATCTACTGATTCCTAATACTGCTTTCCGAATGAGATAAGATATCTATAAAACCTTTATTTAAATTCGGCAAAAAAGTCGAGGAATAACCATAAAACACAAGCTCTAATGAGATATAGACAGATTTTACAATAGGGGAGACCGGGGCAAGTTCGGCCCATTTTTAGTTAAGTCCGTTCTGGGAAGTATGGCAGCACGTCCGTTTTTGAAAATTATTTAACTTTTCCTATCGGAACATCGGATGGCCGAACGAGCCCCGCCATGGGGTAAGTTCGGACAGGCATTCGTGTAAGTTCGGCCTCTAATGGAATCAGCTTAATTATGACGTCACAAACCATGCAACGCCAGATTTTACCGCCAAAGGTCAACATTTGGCCCCCACTTTGATTTCTTTTATTCTTTTGCCATATGTAGATACATAAAGGTGACCAATAACTGCATAAATGATTATTCATAATTACTACTGATAACCGTAGTGGACCTCCTTGCATAACATTAGGTTGAGTGACGGGGGTATCCTAACAAAATGACTGACAAATATCACAGGCGAATTTTTGTTGAAAATTAATAATGATAGTGTATTGTGTATAAAATTGCTGTTAGTTTGATACTAAATATATGAATTTCGTTTCGTTTGTAGTGTAGTTCTTAAATTCGTGCTACAGGTGTAGTGTAGCATTTCGCACGTGCATTTAGTGCGTATTAGCATTCGACGAGATCGTTCACAGCAGTACGGACGTGTATTTTACCTGTACACTGTATTACTAAAACAAAATGAACATTGACAAAGATGGTAGCTCAACTGAGCCTACATGTACCAGGCAGGATTCTACGGTGAACCTTTCCACTGCTGATGCCCTGTCCCTTTTTAGCTCTAGGCTGGATATCGCACTGAGTTCTCACCGTTCCCTCATTTCGTCCGACATTGACAAAAAACTTCAAAGTCAGGAGAAACTTTTGGCAGCGAATAAGTCAGACTTTAAATTTAAATTTGAAGGGAACCGTAAACAGTTTGTCTTTAACTCTGAGATAAGACTGGACATTTCCAAAGCTATTCAAGCTATTAAAGACGATAATAGCGAATTAGCAGAGTCGACGCTCACGATCTGTCTCGCTCATTTAGACGAGAGGAATAAGATTGTTAAGATAGCGGACCGTCATGGTTGGGACACGGTTGCTGAGTACGAAGATGACCCTATTTGTGACGACGCTGATGATTCTTCTAAGTTGCGTCAGGCTGAGGCCAGAGCACAGAGGAAACGGAAGGCAAAATCTGCTAGCCGTAATACGAATAAGCCGTATGAACGTCCAGGTCTTGGGCGGGGAAGCGGAGGCAACACGGGGAACGTCGATCTTTTTCGAGGCTTTCAAAGTACTGGAGAAATGGGAGAGTTCCCTTTCTACGCCCAAAGAGGAGCGGTTAACGGAAGTATGCCTGGAGCGCCCGGGGGTTTCCATCCCTCCTCAGCAGGACCGGTCAACAAACAAAACTCGACCTGTTTCTACTGCTACGGGGCCGGACACTGGGCCAGCAACTGCCCGAGGAGAGTCAGAACCACCCCAACCCACACCCAGAGTGTCCCCGCAATCAAACAATGAAGATCAGAAGATGGTAAGCTATCATTTGAATGAAGTCGTATCTGTAAAAAATACGTTTGTAAATCAAAATGGATTTGTTAAAGGCAGTCTCAAATCTTGTCTGAAGTTTTGGAAAACATGTCTAAAAGCTAGGGATTATGTCTGTAGTGTAGTTGAATATGGGTATTTAATTCCGTTTATTGTGGAACCTGAGTCGAAAATAATGAAAAATAATAAGTCGGCGCTTACGCATAGTACTTTTGTCAGTGACGCTATTTCTGAATTGCTCGCGAGCGGTGTAGTAGATGAGTGTGTGTCGCCTCCCTACGTAATTAACCCACTGTCGGTTTCTGTTAACAGTAAGGGCAAGAAAAGACTTATTTTAGATCTAAGATACGTCAATCAGTATGTAGCAAAACAAAAGTTTAAACTAGAGGGTAGCAGAGAAGCACTAGAATACGTACAACAGGGGTTTTTCGGATTTAAATTTGATTTAAAGTCAGGATATCACCATATTGAAATGCATCCAGATCACATAAAGTTTTTGGGGTTTTCTTGGACAGTTGGAAATAAAGTGAAAAATTTCGTTTTTAAATGTTTACCGTTTGGCTTGTCTTCGGCGCCACATATTTTTACGAAAATGTTGAGGCCTCTAGTCAAAAAGTGGCGGTCGGAAGGTCACATGATGATCGTTTACCTTGACGACGGGTTAGGAGTTGCCCAGTCAATTTCTGCTGCGAAAACTTTATCTGATATGGTTCGTTCCGATTTGTTGTGCGCTGGTTTCGCACCGAATCATGAGAAAAGCGTCTGGACGCCAGTACAGAAATTAGAGTGGCTAGGTTTCATATGGGACTTTGTAGGCGGTGTAATAGAAATAAGTGTCTGTAAAAGATCTGAGATTAAAAACTTGGCTAATGAGCTCATCGGTGAGACGAGCGCAGTATCCGCGCGTGCCGTAGCTGTTTTTACAGGTAAGGTCATATCCGTGTCGCTTAGCCTGGGACGCGTATGTAATTTTCATACGAGGGAGTTACACAAGTGTATATGTCACCGTACCTCTTGGGATTCGCCGATGTGCCTGTCAGATCAAGCTTTGCATGAGTTGCAATTTTGGGAGCTAAATGTCCTTAGTTTACCTCCGAGTATATTCAACCTTAACACACACGCAGTTGACCACGATCTTCATATCTTTACTGACGCTAGCGCTATCGCGGGCGCAGGCTACTGTGTTGAGCTAAACGAGCACATCTCTCACGTCATGTGGAATAAAGATGAGTCCGGGCAAAGTTCTACTTGGCGAGAAATTAAAGCAGTAGAGCACACTTTATTAAGTTTTGGACAAATTTTGGCCAATAAATCGGTGTTACTTTGCACCGATAATCAGAATGTGCCCCGTATATTAGAGAAGGGAAGCATGTGTATTCACTTACACAGGATGGCAGTGAGCGTGTTCGAATTCCTCAAATCAAATAACGTGTCTTTGTCTATACAATGGATTCCCAGGGGATCTAATGTTTTAGCTGATCAGTTTAGTAAGATCTTTGATTTTGACGATTGGGCAGTAGAAGAGAGTACATTTTTGTATTTTGATAGAATATGGGGCGAATACACCTGTGATCTTTTCGCAGATAACAACAACAAAAAAGTCACGTGTTTCTTTTCAAAGTACGCTTGCGTAGGTTCAGCTGGAGTAAATGCGTTTGATTTTGATTGGTCCAAATTTAACTGCTGGGCGGTTCCACCCATTTACCTTATCGCTAGAACTGTCAATCATTTCCTGAGGTGTAGAGCGCACGGGACTTTGGTCGTGCCTCATTGGCCATCGGCGGCCTTTTGGCCTTTGTTGTCATTCAGGGGTGGTAAATCATTCAAGCCGTTTGTTATGGAATGTGCTTATTTTGTAAAACCCGCCAATTTTTTCCGTGCAGGTTCCCACTCTGACAGTATTTTTGCAGAGAAAGTCTTCCATTCCAACGTGTGTGTTTTAAGAATAGATTGTCGGTAGACATATTATCTGCGGCGTCGAGTACCCGTACAGTTTTATACATTCACATTACTATAGATTTTGTGTAACGTTAGGTTACTATAGTCAATGATTATCACTTCAGTGTAAAATTATTAAGTGTAATAGGTGGTTATCATCTTTATGTACAGTTATGGTTGTATAAACCAGTGGTTGTCACTTCAGTGTAAATTTATTTAGTGTAATAGGTGGTTATCACCTTTATGTACCGTCATGGTTGTATAAACCAGTGGTTATCACTTCAGTGTAAATTTATTTAG